ATGTTTAAAATTATAAATAGGGACTACGGACCTGATCTGTTCTCTCTTTCCCTCCCCACCAAGTCAGAACACCTTAGAGGAAATAACAGGAGAGTTCAGATGCCAAGGGGAAACTATACTGCTGTGAAGTATTGCTTCCCACACCAAGTCATCAACTCCTGGAAGCGACTCTCTGAAGTTATGTGAGTGCCTTCAGTTGACTCATTCAAAAGGGTTTGGACAAGCACAGAAATTTACTAGAAAATGACTAACATAGGCTTCAAGCCTTCTATCCTCATTCCATAAATCTAAACTAGTCTGAAACCCGAACATTGTACCAGTAAAGATAGAGTAATAGGAGAACGTCCTAACTTCCTTAGGTAAAACGTCAAGCGAAATATATTTCTAGAGACTAATATGATGTTAGAAGACCGGAAAAAAAATCAGACGACCCGACCTGAATACCTTGTTGGTGGTAACGTCTCTGACTCCAGCACTGGGTGACGCGGGTTAGAATCTCAGAAGAGACAAGAGTTCCTTCGAGGTCGCATATACGCTTTGCTGACTGGCTGATGAGTGTCAACTAGCACGAAATCTAGATCACGGAAGGTTTCCCTGCTGATTGCCTCCAACGATTTACTATCAATATTGAATTCAATTTAATTTATCATTATGATTTTTCTTCTGAATACTATGATTACTATTTTTATGTACAAAAATGTTGTACAGTCAATTATATTTTGTCTCATAAATGTAGATAGTCTAAGTTATCCGCTTGTATGGAAATGTTTCCATTAAGAGAGTGGAAGAGAAAGTACAAGGGGAAGAAGAACAAGCCATATTTATAGCTGCACATTCTTACTTATGTTTTTTTTTAATACTTTACAATAATAGTTTAATTAATTTCCTTTTTAGTTAGAGATTAATTTTCATTTCATGCATATATTTATCAAATCATATTAGTATTATTATTGTAGTTATTATTATTATTATAACTAGGATGATGCCAGATGGATAATTGCATTTATTCGAAACTACTGAACAGATGTGATCATGGTGGAGAAATTCATTCGTCTTACATCATTTCAAATTTGAGGTTTTTTTTGCTACTATTGTTGTTGTTATTGTAATTCATGGTTATGAGTTAGATCGTTACGACTTTTACTTTCCAATAACTAAAAATGGAATAATAATTAGAATTATTTTAAATTTTCTGGCGAGGAACTGTATGACTGCTGTGAACTAGTCCCAAGATTAATGTTGCTCTTCCTCTGCAGTATAAAAGATATTAGGTAAATATCCTCCGTCGGTGGTGCTGGCCCACCATGCACGTGGTCTGGAGTTCGAGTCCCGGCCGGCTCACACCTTTAACCCCCCGTTCCCTAGGCGGTTATAATCCTGGCAGTGTGGTAAGGTTTGGCATGAAGCCAGCAACCCCTTCCCCACCGTAAAATAACCACTCCTACTGAAACTTCAAAGCTAAAGCCTGAAGCCTTATGTTCCACTGCGAATGTAAAGGAATAAGAAGAAGTAGGATCATAGCTATTTGTTTGCAACATGCATCTGAAGAAGAAATTTAGTTTGTATATGAAAAGTTAATTAAAAATAACTACCCTGAAAAATTTATCACTAAACATATAGTCAATAGAGTAGAAGAGAATTCTTCTTCTATATCTGTCAACAAGAAGCCACTACATATATACGACCGCAATTCAAAGGTGACATACCGGGTGAAACAATAGCCAAACAGTTGAGGGAATCGATTCAGAGAACGTTTTATGCCTGTAAGCTGCAGCTCATATTTTCCACACAACAGATTTGGATCCTGATACTGAATAATGCAGTATCTAGACTATCTAGCTATAAATATAAATAAATATAAATATTCAACCGCTCCTCTTGTGGATCCAGTTTTGTTGGCCGTCGGTTGCTCTTAGAAACTAATTTTTCGTGCTTTGGAACACCTACTAATGTGGTTGAACAAGTGTTGTTAAAACCATCAACAGTTCTGTATTGAATCACCTCCTTCATTAAGACCATAAAGCTAGCATTGGTTGAAAAGTCTTTCACTATCTTCTCTCGGGCTAAAGACCTCTATATACCTAATACTTCGAACAGCGGAGGCCATTACACTTCGTTTATATCAACCAGCAGAAGACACAGGTTCAAGCTGTCTGTCTGTTTTCGACATGGAACTTTGCACCGATGTGCAGCAGTTCAAGTCGCCACACTCCATGTAGCACACAAAACAAGAGAAGCAAGTGGAAGAAATGCATAACAGAGACAGTAGATAGGGATATGAGACAAAAGAAATAGTAATAACGAAGAACAATGTAGTTTCATTGGAAATTATAAGTCATAAGAAAAGGATGCATCTGCACCAGCCATTCAGCACGGCTTTAAGCCATATCACCAATTGTTTCCAGCCATTGGTTTATACTGTCTCGAGGACCCCAATCAGGAAGTCTACACCTTCCTACTTGGCATAAACCAGCTGTTGTGGATTTCATTGACTGAAGGGGCCATGTTTTGGTTTGACCGCCGCTAGCTTTTTTCCAGCCTGACTATATGTCAGCTAACATTCCCCGTCGAGGAAGGCGATGACTAGGCATACGTAACACATGTCCTAACCATCTCAGTCAATGTAATTTCACAGCCTAGTCGATTGATCTCCCCTCCTTACCTAGCACTCGACGCCTAACCTCAATATTGCTCACCTTACTATACCACGTCACAAGGGAGATAGAACGCAGGCACCTAATGTCGAAGACAGTTAATCTTTTCATGGTCCGGGGTTCCATTCCCCGCCGGCGCACTCCTCTAACTCGCTAAGCCAGAAATAATGCTAATAAAGAGGAAGGGTTGGGCATGAGGCTAGCAACCCCATCCTGTAAAATAAACTAACACTGCTACAGAAACATCAAGCCACTAGCTTGGAGCCATATGTTCCACTGGGAACGTTAAGGAAAAGAAGAAAGAAAAAGATTTTTAACTACCCATTACCTGTTTAATTGGTGGATGATCACTGGCAGTGGAATCCAGGATGCGCATTTCGTCTGTGGGCACTGGGTTCAAGCCATGGTGGTAACATCATCATTCACTGAGAAATGCAGTTACGTCGAGCTGACGAATCCCGAATAGGTCGAAATGCGCATCCTGGATTCCACTGCTAGTCACCATCCACCAATTAAATACTAAATGCCCAGACATCGTCAAAGCATCTGCACAAGAAGCCGACATGTCAACCTGAGACCAAGCACTTCGGTCCATTCAATCGACGGGAAAATCAAAAATTCAGTGAAATATACCCATTACCGGATTTTTTGGAACCGAAACACCTAGTCTTTGACAAATCGTGCCTTTTGATTTTCGCTCCTAACTTCTACCGGTCAAAACAATATCATGTTCATTTTTATTAACTCGTTTAAGCGTCTACACCTAGCAGCCAACGTATTAAGCGAAAAGTTCATGGATAATAATTTCAGCAAATATAGAGGTGTTGTTTCGGTATGGTTCAACAGAATTAACCAGTATTATATTGTGTTATTATAATTTTTTATTGTGATCATAGCAAAAATGTTCCTCTTTATTAGTATAGAACATACAGATGAGAAATTTATTCATTTCTACACTCTTTAAATACTTTTAATGTACTCACATTAACCAGTATTGAAAGGTTAATCTATTTTGCTAGGAATATTTAATATACATTATGTAGTAGAGCTACAAGTTATATATATAATAATACCATATGTCAAATGATTCACAACGGAAAGCTCAGTGAAGAGGTGAAACTGACGACAGGAGCAAGACAAAGCTACCTTTTTGTGCTGGACTAGATGGTACAAAAAAAAGCGGAGACTGAGAAGATAGGCATACGTCGGATTGACATGAAGACTATAGAAAACCTGAATTTCGCGGATGGTCCATGTCCGATAGAGCAAAAAATACGAAGGTCTACGCGCAAAAACCAAAGTGATGACAATGAAAGCAGCTAAGACAGCACCTCGAGTGAATACGAAGAAGGAGAGTGGGTGCTGAGGACAATTGATCGACCAATAACAACAAGCACCAATCAATGTCAACGGGAGAATTTTGAAGGAGGTCAATTCTGCCACTTATCTAGACAGCATCATTTCAACTACAAGCTACAGGAAGGTTGAAAATATCAAAAACAGTATCCGAATGACAAAAGAGACCTTTCATTAATTTGAATTTAGTGTAGAATTAACAAAATTTGCAGTTTCAACGCTAATGTTAAGTGAGTTTTTCCATATGGTTCAGAGACTTGGTGTATCATTTCGAATAGGTTGCAGACTCTCATTAACAGATGTCTCCCCTTAGTACTGAAGATAAGGTGGACAGGTGGAATTGATAAGCAATGAGGACGTCTGGCGACGAACAAAACAAGAACCCGTAGCCCAAAAAATATCCAGAGGGAAATGAAGCTGCAGTGGACAAAATCCAAGGAATCCTTGAAACGATATTGTCCATCAAGGCCTCAGATGGAACCCCAATATGGAGTAGTAGTTCGCGCATGGGTCCATAGGTGACATGGAGTAAATCACATAGTAAGGAAATAAAAGATTGTAGGTGATCAAAAAATTCCCTGAAAAGACATCATGAAGCACACTGAAATGGCAGTGTGTCTCTGTAGTCATTCGGAACCCAGGGGAGTAATAGTAGTAATGTACGGAATAAAATCCAATTAAGCTTCCCACCACCCGATTTTAGAACAGGTGTCAAAGGTTAATATGCATATATAAATTCTACAATGTATTTGAAAAGCTTATTATATCAATATTTCACTTTGTAAGAATGTACATTCGTGTAGACAACAGGCCATCTTCATGTAAGATGTTACTGTCTAGGCCCAATACACTCACTCTTCAAATATCAATTCGTCTCTTTCTGTAGAACTGCTATGTTCTAAGGTGTTAACACAATAAAGAAAAGAGACGTACACACAATGAAGAACATAATACAAAGATACAAATATTTCCACGTATAAAACAACTCACCTGATTAGCATCAAGTCCCCAGAATTCAAGCTCTTCTTCGAATAACGGTCCACAGACATCTGTAGGATAATGTAATTTTCCAGTACGATAATAATTCAGGATTTGATTAAATACGCCTGGATGACGATCAAAAAAGTATTCATTCAATATCGGATCATAATTTGCTACAGCTTCTGTCAATTTAGACAAACGAGTGGCTGGAATTTTTTTCAATGTAGCTTTGTATGTTTCATGTCGTATCCCACCAACATTTAAGATGACACGATTTTCCGAATCCATGAAAAGAAATGCTTTAAAAGCTGTTATGTGTAACCATTGAATCTTAGTATTTCAACACCGTATTCGACTGGATACACCATGAAGGCAAGTATTTTTCAAAGTTTTCTAAAAGAATAAAAATACATAAGAGTAATATACACTGAGGAACGGGGTGAAGAATAAAATCTTGGAAAATAATGTTAAAATAATCTGTCACTTAATAGTCATTGATCACAGGATAATTTTGCCTGAGTTCCTAGTAGGAAGTTGTAACCAACCTGATCGATCAAACTGAAGGCTGGGACAAATAGTCGGCGATAATTTGGTACTATGTACCGTGAATTGGCAGAATTTTCAGTTGGTGGGTCATCAGGTTCCATCTCAGGGGCTAAATAGTATATTAGCTCACCTCGAAACCTTGTAGCTCATGGAGTCGGTACCTAGTGGCAGAGTAATGGGTGCATCCTGCTTGAAGCATATCAAACAAGGATGAGACAGCTCTCTTGTACTCCCAGATCTAAAATGGTTGTCCAACTGTATTTCTTTAGTGAAAACTCTTATTATTATATCTCAACGGCTCTTACCTATTGCTTTGAGTGATTGAGAGAATCGCTGAAACTAATTGTAACTAACCGTTCTGAAAATTATTCATAGTTGAAATTTAGCCAATTTATTAAGATGCAACTCTTATTACATTTTATTCGCCTCACAGATGTGGATAAATTTTTACTGCGAAGATGTTTCGCCACATCATTTTTTTATTTTTTTGATTACAGCTTGATTCCACACTGTATTTTAGGTACAAGTATGGAATTTTCAGCATGGATATCGGTACCCAAATTTTGCAGGCCGACCATAGATATCAGGTGTTCGTCTGCAGGGGATCGAACCTCGGACCATGTGGTGGTCGGCGAGAGTTCTAATCATTGTGCCACCAACGCACAATTTTAGTCGTAAAGGTTTGAATTTGTTTGTCACAAAGACTTGACTCTGCACATTACGACTTTTCACTGAAACCTCATATATTTTATCCCATGGTCATTTACTAAAGGGCGATAGATTAACTTTCATGTGTTGCTCTGCAAACTAACTGAAGTTATGACGCATGTAACATTAGATTCCATCTCAGTGGCAAGAGAGTTGACTAGTAAGCTGTACTTCCTAGTTTCTATCCCTCGTAGAGCTCTTAGTGAGTATCAATGAAGAACACCAGACTAGTAGGAGGCATCTGTTCACTGCTTCCTAGTTTTTAGTGGTAATCTAACTAAAGTTAATCTGTGATCAAACCTTAGAATAAATCAAATTCCTATACTGGAAAACTTAACCTTCCAACTCAAAGTAGGAGTAACAAGTAGGAAAATTCAATTCAATATTCCGGTGTCGAAATCTCACTAGTATAAATATGATTTTAGCAAACTATACTACTGCAAACAGAATTCTGAGGTGGGTGGGTAAAATAACCTTTTGATCTACTTAACTATACTAGAAAATGTTTCCGTCTATAAATAAAGAATAAACAATTGAAATTTGTAAATTTTAGGCTTTTACTCAGCTGATGAAAAACTTTTGTGTGAGAAAATCGTCATTTTCTGAGAGCAGGTTATTCTTATCTGATAAAAACTCTCCAACCGTGTGAAAACACAAAAGTTCAAGACCAAAGGGAATTGGATAGTTCTACATCTCAGATAACATAAATTAAATAATCTATAGTCAATGTAATGAATAGGAGGTTATTGTAGATGCAAAGAAAATATAAGTGATGTCAGAAATTGAACTTAAGGTCTATGAATTACTGGTCTAGTCGTCTGGCATTAGAACTATGAGACTCAGCTTGCTAATAAGGTTATCATTCCACTGTAACCGCTGGTGGCAAAACCAACCTGTTGTGTATGTAATTCAGTGATAGTATATTGTCCGTTTATTCTCACACTAACTGCCTGACCTGATGTTCTCCTGTCAATTTTAATCACACTATATTAGAAACAGGTTGTTTATGTGTGCAGTGACTATCTGGCAATAGGTAATGACTGAAGGTGAAATATGTACTTTTCATGTATTTAACGGTGGTCTGCTTAAATCACTTTGCTACCAAGATTTCTATTCATCATGTGGCTTAATTCATTAAACTATGTTAGCTGATCACTATTTTTTTTTTTTTTTGATTTTTTTTTTGATTTACAGCTTGATTCCACACTGTATTTTTGGTACAAGTATGGAATTTTCAGCATGGATATCGGTAGCCCAAATTTTGCAGGCCGACCATAGATATCAGGTGTGCGCCGGCGTGGGGTTGAACCCCGGACCATGTGCATGGTCGGCGAGAGTCCTAACCACTGTGCCACCGACGCACTTACAATTCTTGAAGGAAATGAAGAAAAAACGCAGAGAATTGGTCCTCTCTTCGTATGCTATAAAACTACGTCAGATGGTACACTTCAGATTATTACTTTATATACAAATCATGAATTAAGACGAAATATTTTGGAACTAAATGCGCTGAGTATTTCTGTACTGCGTGTTCACATATTTTCGGAAGAATAGCTTTATTTTCACTAAACATCGCATCTTCATATATAGCTTCATCCCTATATATGCAATTATTATGGGTTTATTTAAAACAGAACTACTGATACAAATATGGAATTTTCATTTATTTTTTTCACTAGACACTTGTCGGTAACTATTGTAATGTGTCTAGTCCATCCTTTGGTGCAGACTCAATTCTAACAGTCTAGTTTGCAATACGTTCATCATGCTAGGTGGCTAGCCATCATGGTGCACTTTGAATTTTTCATTTAGGTGGTCGGAGACAATTGGAAGGGAAGCCTTGCCTGACCTATGTTGGCACTTATCAGTCAGTCAGCAGGGCGTGTATGCGACCTCGAAGGAACTTGTTTCTCTTCCAAGATTGGAACCCGCTTCACCCAGTGCTGCAGTCAGAGACGTTACCACCACCAAGGTATTCGAGTTCGCCATTGACCTCCTGTAGGACTCTTGGATATTTTTGAGTGGACACTAGTCAGTAACTACTATAATGTGTTTAGTTCTTTGTATGTTGCAGACTGAATTCTATCAGTCAAGTTTGCGATGTGACCACCATTCTAGGTGGCTTGCTATCATGAGGTCCAAGGCTTCCTGCGGATCGCCCCCAACCATGTAATACAATATTGCATTAAATTCTTTCTTTACACAGTCCAGAGGGAAATAATCAAACATGGAAATTAGATTGATAATTTTGTCGAATAAGAATATGAATATCAAATCAAAACTTCGATGGATATACTACCAACAGTATATTAATGAGCAAAGAATAAAACGTGCCGTCTACTTAGTGTTTCCGAATAAGTTGATAGTATTATGCTTTACACTTTTCTGATCACATAAAATGTGTACCTGCCGAATAAGGCACCGTGGAGTTCTCATACTTAGTTGTCCTAACGTAAAGTCTTTTATGGCTTCTTCTTGTTCTACCTGATGAGATGCAAGGAGGAAGTTGTGCTTAGAGAGGATTTGCAGGGAGTAGCAAGATAATATTAGCCAATTTCTTGCAGAAGTGCAAGGGCTTATCTAACAAGTTGATTTGGTGACATCCCACTCGCCCTACTGGCAGCTTTTGATACCCTTTGCAATGTAACACAATCTTTCTTAATTAGCCCAGGGAAAATTAAGATTGGGGTAGCAATAAATAAAAATGGGTGGGAAACAAACTGCAACAGTAAAAACTAACTGACACTCGATAGGCTTAACTTCTTTAGGTAGAGCGTCAAGTGAAATATGTTTTGAGAAACTGACGTGATGTAAGGAGACTAAGAAAGATTAGAGGAAATACAAAATCCAAGGTTTTTTAACATTCGACTCCATTTCAGCCTCATTGCGATCTTTGATAGTAGACTCAAGTGAACTTACTAGCTCATGAGAGTCACACTTGTGCTTGGCAGTGAGATTAACAACCTGATATTTCGAGAAGTTTAGCTTATGACCATTTGAGGATTGCCGCTAACTAATTTTGCTAATAAAAATGTATTCATTTTGGAACAATCTGACTTAGAATCAACCGTTATGGAGATTCACTAATCTAGTGATAGTGATAAGACTTTAAATTTTTTGATTACAGCTAGATTCCACACTGTATTTTAGGTACAAGTATGGAATTTTCAGCATGGATATCAGTAGCCCAAATTTTGCAGGACGACCATTGATATCAGGTGTTCGTCGGCAGGGGATCGAACCTCGGACCATGTGGATGGTCGGCGAGAGTTCTAATCATTGTGCCACCGACGCGCAATAGTTAGTCAATATTAACATGTCAAGGGGATAAATGTAACCCAGGAAATCAATGCTAAACTAAATTAGGGGCTGATTCTCTTAAAAGGATAAGTGGTCAACTGGAACTGTGTTGTCATTACATAAATTATAGACTTTTGATTGATGAAAAATGAGAATGAAAAAATGAAGATCCGTAACAGTCTGAATTAAATCTTACAACAGGTAAAGAAACAAATGGTAGTAATGTAATCCTAGACGTCTTTGCAACTAGGGAACATAACAGTGCCTTTGAAATATGAATGCAATCTGGTAAGGTTTTGATCTACAAATATCTTGATGATGAAAGATAAATTATTAAAGATTTGTTCAGTAAAATCGGTTATCTAAGAAATTTTATTATTAAAAATAGGGATTTAAAAACAAAGCATTTTATATATTGACGGTTGCGAAGAACATGTCAACAGTGACGACTTTAGTGAAGAAGAATATTCACTACAATCGTGATATGCTGTCTCTTCACAGACATTACAATTTTACTTTCGAAAAATAAGGGTAAACTAACTATTTCCGCTTGCTCCATGTATATTTATTACTTTGCCGGCTCCGAGGAACTGGTTACACTGGGCGTAGAATTATTATTGGATATCTGATACTCATCATGTATGCTTACGCAAGGAATAAACCGTGTCTGTTCTCAGTACACCTTGTAGATTCTGAACATGATTTTCATGTTCTGCTGTGTACCGAGTTCAATGTTGCTTCGCGATTTCGTCTTCTACATACATCAGAAGCTATCGGAATCCACCCAAAGAAGACAAATCAGTGTTTTCAACAGAAATTCGTGCAGTCACTTTTATCAT